ATTCGATTACAAACAATGGTTGTTAAACTAGCACTGATATTTAGTTGTTATTTCATTTATGTCACAGGTGAAGCGGAATTACGGTAAAGAATGAAAAGTTCGTTCTTTCAGTTTGGTAACGAGTCCCATCTGCTTAAATTTGACGAATTCCTTGCTTTAAACAATTTGTGTTGTCTTGTTTATTGAAATCATCATCTTTTCATATACATAACGTGTTTAAATTGTGATGTTCATAGTATCCGCATCTCTTCAACAGTTTAGCAATAAGTATTCAGCTTTTGCATGTCAGAAGAATATATTTCTCTTCGAAAGCAGATCTGCCTCAAACTTGTTCTTCTTTGTTGCACACTGACCTTCTGATCGACGTCCACACGAGAAGCTCACGGGCTGGAGTAAATTATATATCCTCAACCATTTTGTTACTCAACAGGGCCTATCTTGTTTTTCTAATTTCCACATTTGCGGAGGTAACCTATGTCCGGAAGAGAATGGAGTCATTCTTTGCATATTCCTGCCATATAACTCTCGTCATGCGTCGAAGACAACACTGCTGTATGCCATTCAAACGTCATCCTTCTCCTTCGCTAGAGCCAATATCTCCGTAAAACAGTACTGATCTGACAGAGGCAAGGAATAGCTCATGTTCGTTGGAAGAGTAACTCCTTCCTCAACCAAAATATTTTACGGATTGCCAAAAACTCTGGAGGCGAGGCGATACTTTTACTTTATTCTGATTGGTGGTGCAGCAGCTGGAAACGATGGCGACGCGACACCTCAATTTGGTCAACTTCATGAAGGGTTTCACATTCTTGTTCCACCTGTAGGTTAGCTGTATCGGATGGGTTCCTCATAACTTTTGACTTCAGGGCTTTGGGGAAGAGACGGGCTTCCTCAATTATGTCGCATGCTGAAGCCGCTGACCGACGATGTCCACTCCAGGTACTACTCTCCAAGACGATATCACTCGCGGTATGCATGTCAGCAAGCCAAGATTTCTTCTAGCCAGATATCTTGACTTGTGCCTTTCCTTTAGAATGAAATCCTTGTGTTCGACAACAAGATCAGCACTGTTTCGAAGGAGTAAGTCGAGAACAGTGTTGAATAGCAAAGGCAAAAGCACATTTCCCTATCGAACTTCACAGTTAATAGAGAAGCATTCAGATATTTGCCCTTTGAATTTGGCAGCAGACATGATTCCGACAAACACGCGTATATACCATTGTGTAGGGATGGAAAGTATTCGATTGCTACTGTTTTATGTCAAAAGTACAATTTCCAGTTTTATGCTTACAGCTGGAAATTTTGCCAAAGGAGATGCATGATCCGATGATATTTGCACTTCCGAATCGTACACGTTTTCGCCTGCTCGATTTTCCGGTGCATCTTCCGTTGGAACTACTCGGTGTTGACTCGGTGCTGCTCGTGCTCGAATGCATGCTGCTCGAATATAAGGTCGTTCTCCAATCACGGGATTACAATGTGGTCAGTATGTGCGTTTTGGCATTGTCCAGTCTGCTGTATCCGCTCGAATATTTGTTCCCTATCATACCATTGCTACCTTCTTTCATGAACGGTGCCGAACAGGTAGGTGAAATCGCGCTGCGTTCCCTTCTCGTTGCCACTAGAGAATCCATCTTATTCGTAGTTGCTGCTGGCACCGACTCCATTTGTCATTGGGATACCGTCGACGTTCTTCCTCTGTCGAGGGATCGATAAGGTACCGCCAGACATTGTCCTGGTCGACCTCGACTCGAACGAGGTAGGTGTTTTTTGAATTTTTCGATTTTTCTCTCTCGTTTCTGCTTTGAAATTTTATTGTATCTTTTGTTACGTATTCCTCCTTTCCTCTAGCAGTTTTCTCGTAATTGCACCGACAGATCATGAATTTCTGGATTAGGTATTTTCTGTCCCTGATCTTCTATGCGTTGATCGATGCAACAATCACAGAGGTTGCGGACGGATACACTATTAAAAAAATAATTCTCACGAAAATGTATTGCTTCAAACGGTTCAGAGATTTGTGATATCATTCATTCTCTGCCTGTTAGCGTGTTTGTGGCTTTTATTTTTTTATTTCCTTTGTTTTTGTTTAAAAGTCATATTGTCTGTGATGTAGCTAAGCGATAGATTGTCACAGTTGTGCCGTTTTCTTCGCATACTCTTGTGTCCAACTTCTGATTTCATCGCTTGGTTGTTTTTTAGATCAAGGTTCCGCTGAACTTCACGTTGCCCAAAATTCCAGATGCTGAACGGGCACTGCTGCAGGTTCCGTTCGACCAGGTAACGCTGATTGCTTGTGCACGGAGTAATGCCACGTTTAGTGCCAGGCTTTGAGCGGTGCCGCCTATTCGTCGTCAAGAATTTCGAGCAGCAACAAGCTGCTCTACGTTGCCGACAAAAACGTCAAACCGGCAGATGACATCGACACAGATGTGATGGACGTCGCTATTCGTGTCGCCATGGTACGTGGCGATTTTTACCTTCCATTGAGGTTTTCTCATCCCATCAGGCAAACTTCCGTTTTTTACTATCCGGTGCCTGCCAAGTGCTCAGTATGCCCAAATCATGAAGAGTGATTATTTGTATATTCCGTCTGGCGTTTGGAGAAAGCCATCGTGATATCTTTTTTTAAGCAGCAAGAAAAGTCTGTCTTTTGCCATGATATGTACATCGACAGGTTTTACCTTGGTTTTCATAAGCTGTGCGGGGAGAAACGAAAGCTGAGAAAAAACAGACACTCCTTTCGTTTACGTTCATTCGACTTGCGTGAATTCGGATCTACGTAAATTATCTCGAAAGGGCTATTTCGAGTTATAAAAATTTTACTTAACGCATCTACGATACTCGAACGACATCGAACAACTGTCTTCCGTACACAGTATATATAGATAATGCAGCCTACTAAATAACTATCATTAGAAGTTTATGAACATTATATCGAAGAATATATTGGATCACATGGAGGTGAATTATTAAGTGAAGAACTTGCTGAACTGGAAGAAGCGAGAGTTGCTGAAGCCGAGGCTTCGGAACCGGAAAAAGAATTGCAACGTCTCGTGAGAAAGAATTGAAAATCGTGTTTTCTGAGATTTTAACAACAATGACACGATTGGAAAAGATGGATTCTAATGTCTGGTGGTTCTTAAACGTCCAAAGAGAAATGACCGACACTTTGGCCTGGTTATTGTGCGATTTATGAACATGCTAGCCACTGTTCAGTCTTCTGTTGATAATTTTGCATGGAAGATCTGACAGCGAAATTAACCATCATTTTATTCTTCTTTATTCTCATGCTTGTTATACTGCATTATATTACTTTGCCTTGACAATTAGAAATTGAGGTCAAATTTGTGTATGCGTCCGTTAAATGAAACTAATAGAAATGTCTTTTATAACACGTTTATATATGTATATATCGCATAATGGACGACATTCCACAAGCAATAATATTAGGGTAAAATTCAATATAGCAAAGTACGAAAGTACATAGTTCGATTGACAGAAAAATAAGATGCTGGAACTGTATAACAGAAGTGAAATGAAAACTTGTTAAGTGCTGGGTGACTGCATTATAAGGGTAGATGGTATGAGAACTAGAGAATTCACTATTGGACTAGAGTAAGCGAGATCCACATCAAGGAATTCCTTACGGAACAGATGTCAAGATGATGTAGTTATTGTAAATCCTTTCCTAGTTAGGGCAGATATGCAGGGATGCTTGTTATGTGTAATCTAAAGCTAGTAAAGATGCGGCGTGAGCATTTACGTTCCAGCAACTTCCGAAAATGATGCCATACATTCTATAATATAGAATGACAGAAACGCACAGAAGTGTTATTGGGGCGATCAACTAAAGCCTTTGCTACTTACCTCAAACAAACTTTTAGGGAAGATGTTTTTGGATCACCTCAGTCTTTAACTTAGGAAGAATCAGCGCAGACTTTTGCATTTGCATTTTTAGGTAAAGTTTTTTAACTCGCCGAATGTTTTGGGCAATTTTCAAGAGCACACCAGAACGCTTCGTCTGTTCCCGAGGCCAGTAGTCGCACTGCTTAGCGACTCGTTCATTCGATCGCGCAAAAATCCGTCTGATTTCGTTCGTGAATTGGCCAAAACTCAGGTATTCCCGTTGTTAAGCGTGTAAATTGTTACCATATATCTGTCAGCATTGCACTTCTCAGTACTTTACTTCGTCGAGTACTCAACTAAATAGAAATAACAAGTTTGATAGCAACCCGTTATGTTAACTGTAAACGGTTTTTATAGCATACATGAATATCCGTTTGTATGCTGAAAAACGGGTGGCAAGTCGCTGACTTGCGAACAACAGAACAGCATTGTGTTCTGGTGTGCTCATGCCAGAAATGGCGAGAGCGACGGCCATGGCGTCTGTTGCAAGCGCGCCATAGGGCTGTAATTGGCGTTTGCCCACCTGGTAGCTGTTCGTTCAATGTGATGATCGTTGTTATTGTTACATGTTACATGATATTTTAATTTTGCATAGAGTTTTATACAAGTTTGTGTTTTTCAGGCTGTGGAGTACTTTGCCGAATGGTGCATCAACCCCAAAAACGAAGCCTTCCTGCGTGTGCAAAACGGTATTTATATTTATCTGGTGTACTTCTGTTTGACTCGATTATTATTTGATTGAGGGATTGCATGTACTTGATACATGATTCCTCGATTTTTCTTTCAACAAGCTAAGTTTTGCAAATGTAAAATACAATGAATTTCCTTGTTCTGAACAGGCACTCGACCGTTTGGTGCTGTCATCGGAGTAATGCTTTGCCATATAATCTAAGTTTGACTCATCTGCGCTTTTTAACGGGCAACGCAAAAAATGCCTCAAGGAGCGATAATGTCCAGTCTCCCTTAACGTTTTTCTGTTAAAGACAGTTTTATAGTGTGAAATTGCGATCGGTGAAGTTGGGTCGGAAAGAAATTAACTCGATGTGATCTGACGTGGTAGATATAGCAATATGCATGGGCGCCACGGGAGAGAAACAACAATAAGAAAGGCAGCAGTCTCTGCTTTTCCCGTTCCTCGAAATTCATATTTTAGCGCTTCGTAATATTTCAGTCGAATTATTAATCGTTTTTCGTTAATCAGTTTAGTTAATTGCGGTTTGTTTCAAATGTCCCCCGATTAAAAGTGTTTCGATGGTCAGATATTTTCGCTTTTTTTGCAGGCGTTGTCGATCCTGCGGCTATTGGGGATAAAGCAAGGTGGTTTGCTGATGAACTCAAGCCGGTCGTTTTCGAAGTTTATCCGCCAAACTCGTCGCTGGCCGCCGCATGGAATGCAATCACGGTGGAAATATCAGAACATAGAGAAACGGGTATGAAATTCATTTGTGCAAGTGATATAGAAGATATCGCAGATTTTGGGCAAGCGAATGAAAACTATCGCTCATGATTGTGGTTCTTTGAAGGAAATTATTTCTGAACAGTATATTTTCAACCCTGAATTTAATTTACATTGATATGTGTTTGTTTTTGCATTTTGGTTTACAGCAATATTGCCGTTGTGATTGACGATGAATGTTTTTTCACCGGTTGTACGGAAGTGATACACTGCTCCCTTGCGTTTAGACTCCTAGGAAACTGCCTAATCAGCTCATGGCTCTATGACATTTAGGCACTGAGTACCACTGGCTATACGATTATAACGACCCTAAGCAAGATCATTGCGCGTTCATTCACCCATTTCTTGCATTGTAAAAAGTATATGATTACGTGATACAATCGATTACGAAAATCCGCTACGGATTCTTTTAAATGGTATTATTTCGTGTGAACTCTTTCGGGGACGATGCTGCAAAAACGCAACATCATGTATTCAGCCTGTTCAAGCAGGATAGGGAGCATTGTACCTGCGTTT